GCCGAGCAGCGAGCCCGGCGCGCCTGCACCGCCCGACCGCTCCTCCGCCTCCTCCTCCGCCTGCCGCTTCTGGCCTGCGAGGAAGAGGCTGTACCAGCGAAGGAAGCGGCCAGAGGCGCCGCGCGCCACGCGGAGTGCGTGCGCGGCGCGCTTGAACTCGTTGAGGTCGAAGTAGGCCTTGGCGAGCAGCAGCTGGTCCTCCTCCTCCCGCGATCCAACCTCCTCCGCCGGCGACATCGGCGCGTCCGACGTGCCCGCCTCGTCATCGAGAGGGCCGCCCGCGAGGCCGACCAGCTGCTCCGCGGCCCACTTGGCGGAGCACTTGAGGCCGCGGTCCGATAGGTCGCGCACCGCGGCGCGGAGCTGCGCCCGGTGCGTCGTCATGGCGGCAGTGGCTCGTTGCAAGCAAAACCGCGGGATACACCGCTCAGCGTTCAGAAAAAAGAATTCTGGCGGTGTTGCTAGAATCGCCCCACCCGGAGATGGACCCGTCCGCCTTGAGCGCGGCGAAGGCGGTATTAGTCGAGTAGATCGCGGTGAAGCCGGACCCTGTCGGTGCTCCGCTGCCGCCGCGCGAAGAGTCGCCCCACGCTGAGATGGACCCGTCCTCCTTGAGCGCGGCGAAGGCTTGCTCAGTCGAGTAGATCGCGGTGAAGCCGGACCCTGCCGGTGCTCCGCTTCCGCCGTAGCGAGAATCGCCCCACGCGGAGATGGACCCGTCCGCCTTGAGCGCGGCGAAGGCGTACCCAGTTGAGTAGATCGCGGTGAAGCCGGACCCTGCCGTCGACTCGTACTGTCAGCCAGGCAGAGCCAGCCAACGCGCACGAGAGACGCGCAATACTCAAGACAAATTACTACCACCTTCGTACAACTCAACGTGCATTCATGCAACGCGTGCAACGCTGCACAGTGCTCAGGGTTCGAGCAGGTGCAGGCGAGTGGAGGGGCCCCTGGCAGAGTCGGCGGACTGTAAACTTAGGTCAGGCCCGAAAGGCAAGTTTTAGCCACATGAAACCGAGACCCCTCCCCACCGCCCCGCCCCCCCCACCCCCTTGCTCCCCTCCCCCCCCTCGGGAGGGCCGAACTGAGGCGCCCGTGGGGACCCCGCACTTCCCTTCCCCCCTCGGAGGGCCGGACTGAGGCGTCGAGGGCCCCACTCTTTCCCTCGCATAGCGGCCACTCCTCGGATCGCTGGTCGAGCGACCCGGGGGATGCCCCGCGCGCCTGACCCAGGCGCGAAAACGAATCTGCGAGGCGTGGCCGCTCACGCGGCCCGATGGGGAGGAACGGGGCGAGCTCCCTCCAACCCACCCGCGCTAGGTCTCGGGCGGCGAAGGGGTCACACCCGACGACCTCGGGAACTAGCCGGGGCAGTCGGAGAAGGGGCAACTCCGTGCACTGACGGTCGGCCGCCAGAAAACACGCCTCCGTGGCTCGGGTTACACCAATCCTCGCTACCCAACGCGGCCAAAGGATATCCACCTCGAGAACCTCGAGAGACGTCAGGCCCCGGGCCCCCCCCGGCCCCCCCTAAGTTGCGCCCACTCTTCCGGTCCTCACCGCCGCCGGTCGCTCACGATGTCGCTCCCCACCACCAACTCGCCTGACACCACGCTCGACAGCCTCGGCAGCGCCGCCGCCCGCGCCACGCTCCGGGCGCATCCCAGCCGCGGCTACGTCCAGATCGAGCCGCCGGTCGAGCCGATGCCGCGGCTTTCCAAGGAGCTTGGCGGTGCGGTGGAGCTCTTTGTCAAGCGGGACGACCTCCTGCCGCTGGCGGGCGGCGGCTCCAAGACGCGCAAGCTCGACTACCTCGTCCAGCAGGCGCCACCGCCCCAAGAGACGCACCATGCCGCCGATCGATGCTTTCCTAGACACGGGAGCCTTCGACGTGATGGCAGCGAGGCGCTCGCCACCTCTCCGCCCTCGCATCTAGGCGCTCGACAGCGGCGCCGACACCCTCGTCACCTGCGGCGCTGTCCAGAGCAACCACTGCCGCCTGACCGCCTCTGCGGCCGCGCGCGAGGGCCTCGGCTGCCACCTCGTGCTCGAGGAGAGGGTGGCCGGCAGCTACAGCCCCGAGGCGGGAGGGAACAACTACGTCTTCGGGCTGCTCGGCGCAAAGACGCAGGTCGTCCCGCTCGGCGGAGTCGACGCCGCCGTCGCCGCGCTGATGGAAGAGCTCAAGGCGGCGGGCGCCACGCCCTACTACATCCCCGGCGGAGGGTCCAACGCTCTGGGGGCACTCGGCTACGCGCGCGCCGCCATCTCAGTCGTCGAGGAGGCGCGCAAGGCGGGCCGCCCCTTCGACGCGGTCGTGCTCTGCTCCGGCTCGGGAGGCACCCATGCCGGGATGCTCACCGGCATGCGCGCCTGCGGCGACCAGACGAAGGTGTATGGCGTCTCTGTCCGCTTCGACGCCGCGAAGCAGAAGAGCCGGATCGAGGCGCAGTACAAGGAGTGCGCGAAGCTGTTTGGCAACGAGGCGCCCGAGGAGGACGTGGTGATCATCGACTCGCAGGTGGGCCCCGGCTACTCGCTGCCGACGCCGGAGATGCGATCCGCCGTCGAGGCCTTCGCCAAGCTCGAGGGCATCCTGCTCGACCCCGTCTACACGGGCAAGGGCGCCGCCGGCCTGCTGCAGCTCGTGCGGGAGGGCGCCTTCCAGCCGGGGGCGCGGGTCCTCTTCTTGCACACGGGAGGGGCGCCGTCCCTCTTCCACTACCAGCCCGTCCCCGAGTGACGCCGCCGCCGCCCGCTTCGACCGGCGCGAGGTCATTGGACCAGGCTTTTGCTGTCGCTGAGCTGTCGGAAGAGTCCCACCACGCGGGAGTGAGGATGTGTGAGTTGCGCCATATGTCCGGCCGGCGTGTCCCGGGTGTGCATGCGCATGTATACATTATTTTTTATTGTGATAGGCTAGTTCCATTTATCACTCTGACACGCTCTAATCTTGTTCTTGAAAACGTCCAACGGAGCTCCGTGTAGCTCCCAGCGCCCTCCCCCGCGCTTCCTGCGGCCCTAGCCGATGGTACTAGCATGGGAGGTCATCTGGCTACCGCGAGAGCGACCCAACTCGTCGACATCGTCCGATGATGGTGCCTCAAAGTCAGCCTTCGGAGGCTATCGTGGGGTCGAGCCGGCAGTAGCCGTGACATGTGGTTCCACCACCCCTCGTAGGCTTTGCCTCTGACCGTCACCGTTCCCAGGCTGCCTAATGGGATGGAAAGAAAGGCTCGGCGAGCGTATAGCAGCGCGCTCGACCTCGTCGTGGCAACCTGCACGGCAGCGCTGGCAGGCGCGATGAGCGTCAAGCCACCTGACCCGAGACGGGTCGCAGGCGTCGTACCGAGCGCGTCGAGACCGTGTCCTGATGTGATCTGCACGGGTGAGTCACGTCGGCGTCAAAGGAGCGACGTGTGACCTGTCAGAGCTTGATCTCCGATCTCAGCGGCGTCGAGTCATCTCCGGCGCGCGACAAAGGTACATCCACAGGACGCGCAGAGGCAGCTGCGATCCCGCCCACTAGAGGGGCGCACACCTCGCCACCTGCCGTGTGCGCCCGTCCACTCGGCGGGGTCGCAGCTGCCTCTGGAAGGCACCGAGATGTACCTTTTTGCGCAAATGGTGATTAGCAAGGTTTTGTAACGCGAGCTGTGCCACAGTGAAATGGAACTAGATGGAACTAGCCATAACATCAGTGATCAGAGACCAGCGTGTCCGAAGTAAAAGCGAGACTAAGAGTCACAGTTGACACATACTTGCGCTCTGGCGATAGGCTTTTCCCGGATAGGGGCCGCGGCGGTCTGGAGAGCGGGCTTGCCGTCCAAGGTGCCGGGAGGAGGTGATGGTGGCGTCGGAGTTGTGGCCAGGTGGCCACGGACTGGTAGGCCTAGGCGGCGGTCACGATGGCATCCTCTCCCGTGTGTGTACGTCACATGAGTTCCAGTCAAAGAGCGTGAAGCCGGACCCTGTCGGCGCCCCGCTGCCGCCGTAGCCAGACCTGTCCCACGCGGAGATAGACCCGTGTCCGCCTTGAGCGCGGCGAAGGCTCCCCAGCTGCCAGCAAGTCGAGTAGATCGCGGTGAAGCCGGACCCTGTCGGCGCTCCGCTGCCGCCCCGTTCAGAGTCGCCCCACGCGGAGATGGACCCGTCCGCCTTGAGCGCGGCGAAGGCGGACACAGTCGAGTAGATTGTGGTGAAGCCGGCCGCGGCGAAGGCGCCGTGAGTCGAGTAGATTGCGGTGAAGCCGGACCCTGTCGGCGCTCCGCTGCCGCCGTTGCCAGAGTCGCCCCGCGGCGAAGGCGAACCGATTCGGATTGTGCTGCCCGTCGTGACCAGGACGTCCGCGCGCTCCACGCGGTGATGGAGGCGGTTGATGGTAAGAAGTTGGCGGTGGTGGCGGTGGAGCTGGCGGCAGCACCATACCCACAAACTGCATTATCTCTCGAGTGATCGCAGTGATTGCTCGCGGTGGAGTGCAGCAATTGTCGAGGCCGAGTGACTTCCACCAGATCCAACAACAAACGCATAGCTGAAGCCGTGCATCAGCGGGTCGAGCCACGACTTGCGAATGATTTCACGCCTGTGCTGCGCTGCTGGTGTGCTCTTTATTCCGGCAAAGAGGAGGTTCGCTGGTATCCCTCGGCGCGACATCGGATGGGCCATGTGCCATGACCTCCGTACATGATGTAGCTCGTGACCGTCTTGCGCGACGCTCTCCACTGCTCGGGGAGGCCGGCCAGCCAGTCGACGGCTGCCAATTATGCTCTCAGCCCGAAGCGGCTCTGCACGACTTTTGTGCGGAGCCAGCATATCTGATACTTCCGCAGTACTCTATGTGCACGTGCCTCGTTCGCCATTATGATGTAGAGTTTGCCACAAGTGCTCCAAGTTTTTTCTCTCTCTCTCCAAGTTTGATGTAGAGATTTCACTGTAGAGAGGCGCGCCGGCGAAAAATTAGAAAAAAACCGATGCGGCTGCGAAACTTAGCCTTCGATGTTATTTATGAAACAAACAAACCTCTCGGGCCCACAGACATCCCGCACACCCGCCGCCCCCCCCGCGCGCCCCACCCCGGCCGGGAGAAAGGGGAGTGACAGTTTGGGACGGCAACAGAACGAGTATCTCCATGCGCGCGAGGCTGTGTAGGCATAGCCTCGAGAGTGCCAGCAGCCGATCCGAGGCAGTTTGTGACGCGCATTGCGTCAGAAGCGTGCACACGATGGAAGGACACCTTCCTACTGGCCGTACGATCAGGTCGTCACTGAATGCTTGATACTAAGGCCGCGAGCTATGCAGGTGATCAATTGTGCATCATGGCACGGTCAGCAGCGCCGACAGGCTGTCGCAAGGCGTGATAGCATGTGGCCGCAAAGTACGCCGAAATCCCATGAAAACAAGTAAAAATCGCAAAAAACGAAAAAATCCGAATATCGGCGCCCGCGGCGGGCCATGGGACCCCATCTCCCCCTGGCCCCTCGCATGGACACCCTCTTGGGACCCCGCGCCGGCCCAGAGGTCTGTGCTGGTGGGGTCAGGGTGATGGGTAGAGCTGCCCCGGGGCGCTGAATGAACTATGCACGACTGCGTTCCTACAAAAAGTTACGCTGCTACAAACCAAAGCCTGTGTGTGTGTAGAGAGAGAGTGTGTGAATCTTGCGCCGCGGGGCCCTGAGTGCTGAGTCCTGCAAAAGAGTCCTGCACTGGCTCCGCCGTAGAGCTGTTTAACGTTGGGAGCTGAACAGTGTTGCTAGTGTTAACAGTAACAACAGAACAACAGTGGGGCTCCCCAACAACAGTAGCTAACGTTAGGCCGGCTGAACAACAATAAGGAAGGCCTGGCAGTGACCCACGACGACCTCCAGCGTCCAGTGCGGGTAATACCCGAAAATACCCGGGGAAACCCAGGTTTTTCGGGTTTTACCCCCGGGCTTTTTGCCGTTTTCTGCTTGCTGGCCGCTGAACAACAGTAACAACAGTAACAAACAGTAACAGCATGGGCTGGGGTGAACACTTGAACAACGTTAAGGATTTCAGCCAACACTAGCGCAACTGTTAGGCCCAAAGTTAATGTTAAAGCTTAAAAGCTCTCTAGCTCCGCGCGTGTGCGGTGTGAATTTCCAGCGCGCAGCAGCGCTGCTGCGGCTCCCCGCCGGTGTGCATGCGCATATATTATTTTTTATGAAATAACATCATTCCGGAGTGAGACTAAAGTTAAAACTATTTATCAAAAAAGTAAGAGTAACACTGGCGGGCAGCCGTTCACCATTACAGTGGAGGCAGGACCCCGCGCAGCACGGGAGTGACCCCCCCCCCCCCCCCCGTCCCCCGCCCTGCTCATCCGCTGCCTGCTAGCCGGAGCAGCTCAAAGTAGTCGTCCGCCAGCGTGGCGGCGTGCCACGGCTCGAGGGCGCCGCCGCCCCAATCCGAGGCGTGCGGCGCAAACAGCTGCGAGCACGCCCCCGCCCGCACCTCCGCGGCGCGGTCGAGGTGCCTCCGCCCCTCTGCCGTCCTCGCCTTGCCGTTCCACTGCAGCCGCGACAGCAGGGCGCCGTAACCGCTCAAGGCGAGGCTGAGCTCCACCGCCGCCGCCGGACTCCATTCGTCCCGCGCCTCCCCTCCGCCGCCCCCGCCCCCGCCCGCGAGGCTGTGCGAGCACGCCTCCAGGTCGTCGATCGCCGAGCGGTACAGCCCCTCCGCCGAGATCGCGTCTCCCACCTCGCCCATCGCGCAGCCGAGGCGGCAGACGGAGCCGATCACGGCGGGGTGCGAGGCGGGCAGCGCGGCGCCGGCCAGCTGCAGCGCCGCCTCGGCGTGCTCCTTGGCTGCGGAGGCGTCCTCCGCCTCGAGCGCCTAATCTCGGGTCCTCTCGCGGTCCTCTCGGCTGATCTCCACGGCTGCAGAGGAGGGGCTCAGAGCGCCGCTGCGAAGAGGCGCCACCGCGCAGCCACCGCACGGAGGGGCGCGCCGGCCTCCGCCGACTCCGCGCCCGCAACCACCGCCTCCCACGGCGCGGCCACCTGCCCACAGCGACGGCCGTCAAAGGAGTGTGGAGGAGGCGCCGTCCGTCCTCCGACCTGAGCCGGAAGCCTCGTCGGCGCTGGGGACGGGGAGGCCCGCGCCCGCACCGCCCTCTGCCTTGGCGGCGGCCGCGGCGGCGCCCCGCACGTCGCCCAGCAGCAGCAAGGCGCCCTCACGCAGCGAGCCGAGGCTGCGGCCGGCGACTGAGGCTGCGAAGCCGTCCTCTGTCGGGGCGCCCTCCTCTGCTGCCGCCTCTTCCAGCGACGCCGCCTCCGCCGCCGCAGCTTCGGCCCGTACCGCCGCGGTGACCAGCCCGGCGCCGCCCTGTGCAGAGAGAGGACGGGGTGGAGCACGAGGGTGGACCAAGCTCTCGCTCTCTCAAGCTGTGTGCGCCGGGTCGGCGCTGCCGCCGGCCGCCACGATGGCTCCCAGCGAGGCGTGCGACTGGAAGACGAGACCCCAGCGGGCGGCGAGCGCTGCCTCGCCGTCCTTGGCGAGGGCGTCCCTCGCCTCGCTCGCCAGCGAGCACGAGCGCTTGAGCGACGCCGCATCCGCTCGGCAAAGCGCGCAGAGGGCGGCGCCGTTGGCGGCGTGCAGCTGCAGCGCTGGCGGCGCGTCGGCCGTGGCGGCGAGGGCTGAAGACCACTGCTCCGCCTCGAGGTCGAGCCTCGCCGACGCGCGGTGCACCTGCGCCAGCGCGCCGTGCGCGACCAGCCGCATCGCCGGCGACGGCACGGCAAGCACGACCTGCGAGACGCGGTCGAGGAGAGGGAGAACGCGCGAGACGCTGCCCTTGCCGGACCAGGTGCGAGCCGCCTCGGCCGCCTCGGGAAGGAAGGCGAGCTCGCGGGCCGCTGTGGCGAGCATGTAGCGTTCGGGATTGCAAGAGACGGGCTGTCGAGGTCACTGGAAGGTGTGAATATCTAGGAGGACGGGTCGGGCGCGCTGAACTCATGGCCTAAGACTTTTGGCATGAGGGTCGGGTCGCTCCGTGACTCGACCGACCTGCCGCAGGGGTGGGAGGAGGGGTGCGACATCAACACAACGAGCCCGCTCATCCGATATCTCGGCATCTTCCTCGGCGCCCCACGGACTCTCTCGGACTCGGGCCCGGTGCTTCGACGCAGCACAGTGTGCTTCGTGGTAGCATGAACTCAGAACGGCCCCCCGAGAGCGCCTCTTCGACGCCCACGCGCCCACGGGTCCCGGGGGGTCGGAGGGGTTGCGAGAGGGCCCCGGCTATTTTTGTTTGAATCCCGGAGGCCGTTAGAACATGAATTGACGTTCCACGTGCCCGTCCACAGCCACGGACAATCGGACAACATGCTAGCCCAGCAGGCCGCTCCCACCGCCGCCCGCGGCGGAGGCAAGGCGGCAAAGGGTGGCAAGGGCGGCGGCAAGGGCGGTGGCAAGGGTGGTGGCCGTGGCGCACCAGACCCGCTTTGCGCCGCCGCCCTCAACGCCCGATACTCGGTTAGAGCCGGCGGAGCGACGGCGGCAAAGGTGCGGCCGCCGGCGACCTCACACGGCGTCGAGCGCCGTAGAGACGGCCCCGAGAGCCGCCACCAGGTGTGCCACGACCGCGGCCGCGAGGCTCGTGGCGATGGATGCGCCAGACCCGCTTTGCGCCGCCGCCCTCAACGCCCGATACTCGATCAGAGCCGGCGGAGCGACGTCGGCAGAGTTGCGGCCGCCGGCGACCTTCCCCTCTCGACCACGCCGCCGACCCGTCGACAAGCACGCGCGTGGACTGCCATCGAGAAGAAGGAGAAGGAGGGCGGCGCATCCGGAGCCCGCGGGCGCGGCGTGGGCGGGCGCGGGCGAGGGCGGGCGCGCGGGAACCCCGCCAGCGGAGGCGACAATGCCTCTGGCGGCTCTGCAGGCGGCACGCGGCGCGCCCCTCGCCGGTCTCCCGCACGCTCCTGAGGGCCGAGAGGGCCGAGAGGCGGGGTCGGTGACCCGGGGGCATGGGCGGTGCGGCCCGCGCCGCGCGCGGGCGCGTGGCAGCCCGTGAGCGCCGAGATCGGGTCTGTGCTTCGACGTAGCATGGGCCATGGGCCCCCGGAGGCCCATCTACAGCAGCGGCGAAGTGAGCGTGTTTGTGGTGTTGGTGTGACGTCTGAGCTTGGATCTGTGACTAAAGCCGCTTACCACTGATGGATCCCCACCCGAATAACACACAGTGAGCGCCCCAGCACTTCACTACGCCCTCCGCGCGAAATCGCTAGTGGCGCTTCGTGGGGGTGCGGTGCCCGAGACCGCCCAGAGAGGATAGCCCGCAAGTGGGAGGAGACTGTGACGGCAAAGATGGAGAAGCGGTATGAGCGATGGGTGGGAAGAGGTATGCCTCGCTCAAGACGGGGCCGGAATATAGTCATCAAGACTCACGTGCAATCCTGTGCGTGGTACCTAGTGCAGTCGCAGACGCCGCCCAACCTACCCCAAATGCTCGAGAAATGGCAGCGGTACGCGTGGAATTTTTTCGAGGCGCCGGCAAACGCGGAGGGCCTGCACCAGGCACGCCGGCACGCGGTAAAACGCGAGACGCTCATCCAAGAGCGCCCCGAGGGCGGACAACACTGCCAGGACATCGAGATATTCACACGCAGCTTATACCAGCGCCAGGTGAGCCGCCTGGTCACGCCGTCGTCACACAAAGGCGTGAATATAGTGGCGTCCTACGTCAATCGAGCATACGGGCACCTCCGCATGGGGCGACGACTCTTCCACTCCGCGTGCGATTTTCTCAATCTCCCCTCGCCCGCCACCGATCTTGTTATTCACTCCCGATGCAGCCGGCGCGCGACGCGACCGAGAGCCCGACCTCGTGGCCCGACCTCCGCGCCGCCTCTGCGCTGAGCGCTCTCTCCTTTGCTTCGCTCGTCGCCGCGTGTCTGCTCCTCGCCTCCGCCGCCGGGTGGGACGTGCAGGCGCTCATGCAGAGCGAGCTCCGAGGCTACTCGTGGGACCGCTCGGTGGTAGACGCAGTCGCCGTGCTCCTCCTCGCCTGCCTCGTCTCCTCCGTCGCGATCTGCGCTCAGCCGGCCGTGGCCGTCGCCGCCGGCTCCTCCGCTGCCATCGCCGCGCTCGTGAAGCTCATCTGCCTCGGCGAGGCGCGGTGGCGCGGCGACAGCTTGGCCGCCGCCGTGGTCGTCCTGGTTGGCTGCGTCTTTTGCGTGCTCGCGGGCGGCGAGGCGATCGCGGCTGGCCGCCGGCTCTCGCGCCGGCTGGTGGTGGTGCGGGGAGAGGCGTCGCGGTCCGACAAGCTGCTCGACGCGGAGGCAGGAGGCCGCCCGCCGCGCGAGGTGACGTTCGGGCGGCTGCTGGGGCTCGCGAGGCCGGAGCTCCCTCTGCTTGCGACGGCGACTGTGGCGCTCTTCTTCTCGAGCGCGGCGCAGATGGCGATGCCCGGTCTCGTTGGCCACATGGTTGGCGGCGTGATTGGCGGCGCGGCGGGCGAGGCCTCGGACGCGAAGCGGCGCGCGCTGAACGGCGCGGGTGCTGAGCCGGCGCGCGGTGTTCAGGACACGTCCGTGACCGGTCCACGACGTGTCGCTCAGGCGCGGTGCTCCAGCTGGCGTGCGTCTTCGTGGCGGGCGGCTTCTTCTCCTTTGTGCGCGGCTACCTCTTCACGCTCGCGGGCGAGCGCGTCGTCGCGCGGCTGCGGCGGCGCCTCTTCTCGGCGCTCGTGCGGCAGGAGGTCTCCTTCTTCGACGCAAACACGACGGGCGAGCTGATGAACCGGCTCGCCTCCGACACGACGGTGATCCAGAGCGCCGTCACGGTCAACGTGAGCATGGGGCTTCGCTTCGGCGCGCAGGTCGTCCTCGGCCTCGTCCTCATCTTTGCCGAGAGCTGGAAGCTCTCGCTGCTGATGCTCGCCGTCGTGCCCGCCATCGTCGCGGTGGGCGTGGTCTACGGCCGGTTCATGAAGCGGTTCTCGAAGCAGTACCAGGCTGCGCTCGCGCGCGCGGCCGACGTGGCGCAGGAGTGCTTCTCGGGCATCCGCACCGTGCGCAGCTTCGCAAACGAGCCGCGCGAGGCCGACCGGTACGACGGCGCCGTGGACGAGAGCTTCGGCTTGGGCAGGAAGAAGGCGCTCGCATATGGCGCTTTTGGGTCCCTCATCGGCACTACCGGCCAGTTTGCAGTCGTCGGCGTGCTGTGGTACGGCGGGGCGCTGGTCATTGCGGGCGAGATGAGCCTCGGCACGCTCACCTCCTTCCTCCTATACACGGTCGTCATCGCCGGCTGCCTCGGCGGCCTCAGTGACCTGTTCGGCTCGCTCATGAATGCGCTCGGCGCCTCGTCGCGCGTCTTTGCGCTGCTCGACGCCTCGCCCGCCCGCCCGCTCGCCGAAGGGCTGAGGCCCGAGCGGGTGAGCGGAGCTCCACCTCGCCGACGTGAGCTTCTCGTCTAAGCCCCAACCCTCACCCTAACCCTCACCCCAACCGTAGGTGCGCGGCCAGCTCCACCTCTCCGACGTGAGCTTCTCATACCCGGCGCGGCCCGAGGCGCTCGTTCTCGACGGAGTGAGCCTGCGCATCGAGCCGGGCAGCGTCGTCGCGCTCTGCGGGCCTTCCGGCTCTGGCAAGTCGACCGTCATCGGGCTGCTCGAGCGGTGGTACGAGCCGACCCGCGGAAGCATCACCCTCGACGGAGTGCCCCTCGCGAGCATCGACGGCTCGTGGTGGCGGAAGCAGGTTGCGCTGGTGGCGCAGGAGCCGGTCCTCTTCGCCTGCTCGATCCGGGACAACATCGCGTATGGCAAGCCCGCCGCCGCCGACGACGAGGTGCGCGCGGCCGCCAGCACGGCCAACGCGGAGGCCTTCGTGGACGCCTTCCCGCGCGGGTTCGACACCATGGTTGGCGAGCGGGGCGTCCAGCTGTCGGGCGGGCAGAAGCAGCGGATCGCCATCGCGCGCGCGCTCCTCGTCGATCCAAAGGTGCTGCTGCTCGACGAGGCGACCTCGGCGCTGGACAGCGAGTCGGAGTTTGTCGTGCAGGAGGCGATCGACAGGCTGATGGCGTCGAGAACGACGGTGGTCATCGCGCACCGCCTCTCCACCATCCGAGACGCCTCGCTCATCTGCGTGGTGTCGAAGGGACGGATCGTCGAGCGCGGAACGCACCAGGAGCTGATGGCTGCGACTGGGCTGTACAAGCAGCTGACCGCGCGGCAGGCGCTTGGCCCGGGGGGGGGGAGGCGGATCGGGAGCGGGCCGTGAGGCGCGGGCTGGCGAGGGCGGGGCGGTGGAGGAGGCTGCCAGTCGCGTGGCAGGAGAGAGTAGAGCTCGGTGAAAGGTGTGTGGGTTAGGGTTTGCGGGGTACCTATGAACAGGAGCGAGTTCGCGCTGCGCTAGGCTCAGACGGCGCTGCTGCGCTAGGCTCAGTACGGCGAGTTTCGCGCTGCGCTAGGCTCAGTACGGCGAGTTTCGCGCTCCACGGCTACCATGTAGCATGTTCAATCCCCCCTCCGGGTGATGCCAGGGCAGCAAATCGGCTACTATGGCTCCTAGAGGTAGGCCGGCCCCACCGGGGTCACCTCCTGAGCCTCTGGGACCTCGATTTTCGAATTCCCCACCTCCGAAAACCCTAACTCCGGCTTCACATCCCCGTCGGCCGCCCTTCTCACATTTGGCCTCTAGTAAGGGCGGTATTCACGTTCACACTTCTATTCAATACGTGCGTCCTCGACCGGTAAGCGGGAACCGGTGCGAACCGGTAGCCGTCGCAAAATGGCCTCGCCGACCGGTATGCTTTGCGCCCCTGCGCCCGCCCGAGCCCGCCCGCGCGCCCCGGCCTCGCGGCCAGCGTCCCCGCCGGCGCCGGCTGCCCGCCAGCGGGTGTGAAGGCCGTTTCGGCCAGACTTGTAGCGCTACAAGTCTCTGGTGGGACTGCATTCATGGCACAGGCAACTGTCACAGCACTTGGAGCCCTGCACCGCGCCTCACAGCACGGCCCGGCCAGGTCCCACCCGCTGAGAGATCGGGCGTGACCCATGGTCAGCGCGCACAATCGCTCGCGGGACGCTGCTGGCGCGTCCCAGACCAGCACGGCCATTCTCAAGTCGTCGCCGTGCGCTCCCGCTGCGCAGGAACCTCACCAGAGCCTGTGCCTGCTACCCTGGGCCCTGACGGTGCGCATGGTAGCCCATCCATGCCGCCAGAGGTAGTAGTGACCCGAACCGCCCACCATGATGACTCTATTCGACGTTCGACGCAGGTGGTGCTCTGATCACCCCCAATGCGGCTCGAGATGGCGTCGACGCGGCTGCAGGGCCTCTCGCCTCGCCCGCGACGCCGCCGCCGACGCTCGCGCTGGCTGCCGCCGCGCCGCCAGCACGCCGCATCGACGAGTTCTTCCACTCCGAGTCGCATGCGCCGCCCTCGGACGCCGAGGTCCAGCTCTTCGCGCTGGTGCTTGCCTCGACGCGCGATCGGCGCGAGCTGCAGGGCTGGGCGGCCGAGGTGGCGGCAGAGGAGTCCCGATTCTACGAGCTGGGCGACAAGTGGTCGCCGCCGCCCGCCTGGGCGCGCAACAAGTCCGTCTCGCACCGCTTCACCGAGTGGTGCATGGCCGCCTGGCAGGAGAAGATGTGGACTCAGAGCGCGGCTGCTCTGACTCTGCTACCGGCGGAGCACACGGCGCCGTCGCAGGCAGCCGTCGCGCGCTACTACAAGAAGGTGTTCGGAACGAAGCCGGAGCTGCACGGGCCGATGTACGACGTGAAGAGGCGCAGGGGCGCGCTGCGCCGGACCGTGGCCGTCGTGCCCGTCGCGATGCTCATCAAGGAATCGTACGCCTTGCTGCACTCGGCGGCGTCGCGTGCTGCCGGTGCGACGCTCGAGGCGCCGGCGCGGAGGCTGAAGGAGGAGGTGGAGGCGAGCGAGGCGCTGTGGCGCGAGCGCGCCGAGACGGCTGAGCATGCCGTGCGGCGGCGCGAGCAGACCAACGACGAGCAGCGACAGCGCAACAAGAAGCTGCGGCAGGACAACAAGAGGGCGATGCGGGCGGTGCAGGATGCCAAAGCAGCGGCAGCGGCGGCGGAGGAGCGCGCCGAGGCGGCGTCATGGGCTCGAATGCGGGTGTGAAAGTGAAAAGGAGATCCGAGGTGCCGATTTCGCACCAGGGTGGACTAGTTGCAAAAAGTCTGTGGTGCAAAACCCGCCCAAAACTACCAAAATCGCTGTGACGGCAGCTCGGCACTATCTACTCAAAAAAAGTGACGTAGAGCACCCACTTTTTAAGCGTTCGCCGCATACACAAGGTCCGCCTGCGTGCGGCGCCAGCTTCTCAGGGCCGTAGCGCGAAAAACGACCGAGGAGATGCATCCTAGCTGTCGCCGCCGAAGGCGACTCGACGCCGCTGAGATCGGAGATCAAGCTCTGACAGGTCACACGTCGCTCCTTTGACGCCGACGTGACTCACCCGTGCAGAGCGCATCAGGACACGGTCTCGACGCGCTCGGTACGACGCCTGCGACCCGTCTCGGGTCAGGTGGCACGACGCTCATCGCGCCTGCCAGCGCTGCCGTGCAGGTTGCCACGACGAGGTCGAGCACGCTTCTATACGCTCGCCGAGCCTTTCTTTCCATCCCATTAGACAGTCCGGGAACGGTGGCGGTCAGAGGCAAAGCCTGCGAGGGGTGGTGGAACCACATGTCGCGGCCACCGCCGGCTCGACGCGACGATAGCCTCCGAAGGCTGACTTTGCGGCACCATCATCGGACGATGTCGACGAGTTGGGTCGCTCTCGCGGTATCCAGGTAGCCCCCCATACTAGTAGCACCAGCCATGGCCTCAGGGAGCGCGGGCGAGGGCGCTGGGAGCAACACGGACAAAAAACATCAAAAGTGGTCATTATGACACCACCCGTATTTGCAACTAGTCGGTGCGAGGTTCGTGCTCCGTCCACAGGCTGCGAGCCGTCGAGTGCTCGCTTCGCACTTTCAATTGGGTCCGTTGGCGGCGTCACCCGCAAAAAGTTCTTCGGAAGCCACTGCCGTCTGGGCATGAGTTGCGCGTGGCGACCATGGACGCGACGCGCGTGTCGGAGACAGCCGCCTTATTGGTCGCCGCTTGCGCCCGCTCACGCCCGAGCTGCTTGCGGAGACTCGAGTCGCCGCGCGACGTGAACACGTCGTCGTTAGCGAGGTACTCCTGTGCCTCGCCCAGAGCGTGCTGCACTGCCGCATACTGCTGGCGGTAGGTTCGCGCCTTGAGGTGCAAATCTCTCCCCGCCTCTGCGTTCTCCTTTGCCCCTGCGCGGCTCAGCGCGCCGCCGCAATCCGTCCCTCTTCGCCGTCGAAGGCCAAAGTCGACGGAATCGCCCAGGAGTTTGGCGCCGTCAGCACGGCGCAGTGCGAGGCGAGAGGCAAGCAGAATCCCATTCTGATGCACGGCGCAGAGAGACGCTGTCGGCTTGAGCATGCAACAATTAGGGTCGCGCGCGGTGGAAAACCATGCCGGTTGGCGTTCCGCCCACGACCCCCTGTAGACCCCCCACCCCAACCCTCGCTCGCAACGTGCTCTCGAGGAGCCCCGAAGCACCACGGTGTGTGCGCGGTTCGACGAGCCGAGGTAAGCCAAGCTTATGGGCTTGTGGGTACATGTCTCCGACACTCGGGAACACCGGTTATACGCGCGAGAAGCCTCACATGCGCCCTCGCGTGAATTAAAAGGTGTTTCCGCCCCCAAAAGCTACAGTGTGAAGGGTTAGGGTTAGGGTAAGGGTTAGGGTAAGGGTAAGGGTCGGGGTTAGGGTAAGGGTTTGGGTTAGGTTTAGGGTTAGGGTCAGGGTTAGGGTTCGGGTCAGGGTCAGGGTCAGGGTCAGGGTCAGGGTCAGGGTCAGGGTCAGGGTTATGGTTAGGGTTAGGGTACGGGTTAGGGTTAGGGTTAGGGTTTGGGTTAGGGTTAGGGTTAGGGTTAGGGTTAGGGTTAGGGTTAGGGTTAGGGTTAGGGTTAGGGTTAGGGTTAGGGTTAGGGTTAGGGTTAGGGTTAGGGTTAGGGTTAGGGTTAGGGTTAGGGTTAGGGTTAGGGTTAGGGTTAGGGTTAGGGTTAGGGTTAGGGTTAGGGTTAGGGTTAGGGTTAGGGTTAGGGTTAGGGTTAGGGTTAGGGTTAGGGTTAGGGTTAGGGTTAGGGTTAGGGTTAGGGTTAGGGTTAGGGTTAGGGTTAGGGTTAGGGTTAGGGTTAGGGTTAGGGTTAGGGTTAGGGTTAGGGTTAGGGTTAGGGTTAGGGTTAGGGTTAGGGTTAGGGTTAGGGTTAGGGTTAGGGTTAGGGTTAGGGTTAGGGTTAGGGTTAGGGCTAGGGTTAGGGTTAGGGTCTAGGGTTAGGGTTACGGTTAGGGTTAGGGTTAGGGTTAGGGTTAGGGTTCGGGTTAGGGTTTAGGGTTAGGGTTAGGGCTAGGGTTAGGGTTAGGGTTAGGGTTAGGGTTAGGGTTAGGGTTAGGGTTAGGGTTAGGGTTAGGGTCAGGGTCAGGGTTAGGGTTCGGGTTAGGGTTAGGGTTAGGGTTAGGGTTAGGGTTAGGGTTAGGGTTAGGGTTAGGGTTAGGGCTAGGGTTAGGGTTAGGGTTAGGGTTAGGGTTAGGGTTAGGGTTAGGGTTAGGGTTAGGGTTAGGGTTAGGGTTAGGGTTAGGGTTAGGGTTAGGGTTAGGGTTAGGGTTAGGGTTAGGGTTAGGGTTAGGGTTAGGGTTAGGGTTAAAGTTAGGGTTAGGGTTAGGGTTAGGGTTAGGGTTAGGGTTAAGGTTAGGGTTAGGGTTAGGGTTAGGGTTAGGGTTAGGGTTAGGGTTAGGGTTAGGGTTAGGGTTAGGGTTAGGGTTAGGGTTAGGGCTCGGGTTAGGGTTAGGGTTAGGGTTAGGGTTAGGGTTAGGGTTAAGGGTTAGGGTTAGGGTTAGGGTTAGGGTTAGGGTTTAGGGTTAGGGTTTAGGTTAGGGTTAAGGGTTAAGGTAAGGTTTAGGGTTAGGGTTAGGGTTAGGGTTAGGGTTAGGGTTAGGGTTAGGGTTATGGTTAGGGTTAGGGTTAGGGTTAGGGTTAAGGGTAGGGTTAGGGTTAGGGTTAGGGTTAGGGTTAGGGTTAGGGTTAGGGTTAGGGTTAGGGTTAGGGTTAGGGTTAGGGTTAGGGTTAGGGTTAGGGTTAGGGTTAGGGTTAGGGTTAGGGTTAGGGTTAGGGTTAGGGTTAGGGTTAGGGTTAGGGTTAGGGTTAGGGTTAGGGTTAGGGTTAGGGTTAGGG